GCACCAATCTGCAGTGACCCGGGTGGACGTGCCAAGCAGAGGAGAGCCAAGTAATCTACTAGCGACTGCTTGCTCAACGTCAACAGGTGGATATGTAGTAGCAAGATAGGCTTCAACATGTCTATGATAGGCACGGGTAATATCATGGGCTATTTCATCAGGATCAGTATCCGAGTCCTCCAATACAGTGATGGGCACAGGGCTCTCATGCCCTGAAGCTAATACAATGACCAGGCCCGCATTGATTTCAGTGAATGCCTCGCTCACTAAGATGACTCCTTTGGGCCGACACTCAGCGGCAGTGTCATCCTCGGCTGCTTTGTCCTTCCGGGCAGGTTCGGTTGACCCAGCCGGTGAAGAGACATCGCTGCTGGACGACGCCCGACGAGACATGCGGGGACTCGGGTCTGGGGAACCCCCGTAGTCAACCTCATCTGCCAGATCGACACCATAGGTAAGTGGCGGAGCTCGTAGCGGGTCAGCTGCTCGGACTGCAATATGGTCAGCACTATGTGATCTGGACAGTTTCGATGGTGGGCCAGGTTGCTGCATATCCCTGCCCGTGTCCACAGAGCGCGCACGTTTGTGCGATGATGCAATGGGACTTGGCAGCTTGCTTTTTGCAACTTTGCTTGGCGTAGCTGGGAGGGTTGGGTCAGTGCTTGCTAGCCAAAGTTCTCGTATCTCAAAGAGGGTCACCGGCACACAATCGCTGTCAATCAGTGCAAAGTTGATGGTCGGAAAGAGGAATACACAAGCATCAAGGATGTATGTCCCAGCCCATGTCGGGTGTACCTTGTGAAGACCAGTGTCAGCCGAAATGTGGACAAAGACAACTGTAGTGAGTTCGCCATATGGACCGACATATCGTAGCCGTTCTTTCCACCAAGCAGCGACCATTGGCCAATGGCTGAGCCCAGGCACAGACTTGACCTTGTCGGATTGCAGATCCCGATTGTCCGTCACCAGATATACCGTGTGGTAGGGCAGAAATGCTGAGCTCTGACTAACCAACCATCGGTACAACTTGTGCCAATCAGGTCCAGGTAAGGTTTCACGCCCGTCGACCATGGCAATTTCATAGTCATGCCGATCCGGTGCAGCTGTCTTCTTATGGGGGTCTCCGAATCGCCAGTGCTGCTCAATCGATACATTTAGCCCGTATTCCGTCGAAATGCTTTTGTGCTGTTCAATTGCGTAGAGCAAGTCAAAGAAACTAATATTAGGGTTCTTTTCATGCCAAGACTTCGCCACCTGTTCTCTGGAGAGCAGAGACATCACACTGTGAATTCCTGGGCTACTGATTTGGCAGTGGAATTGAAGAAAGGGGGAGGGAGGGAGGTGTTGAGAATCCTGACACGTCCTTGGTCAGAAGACTCAAGCACACCAAGTGAAATACCAGGAAAACCGACAGGGAGGAACAAAAGAAGGACAAACAAAGCAGGCAGCAAAGGAAAAGGGTCAACAGCACAACAACGACGAACGAATCAAACAGGGGGGAAGAGGGGGGGCAAGTGTTGAAAAACCTGACACGTCTTTGGCCAGGCAGTTCAAACACCCAGAGCACCAACTAAAAGGATCAAATCAAATAGTCAGGACAAAGAGCCTAGGAAGCAATGGCTACGCGAGGCAGAGCAAGCGTAGTGAGCGAAAGAGGTGAATCAGGAGGAGGGAGCAGGAAGAAGAAGCTGGAAGCCCTGACAGTCTTTAGTCAGAGAATCCAGGCACGAAGAGAGAAAAAAGAAGAAAGGGAGAAGAGATGAAAGGAGGCGCTGATAACCCTGGCACGTCTTTGGCCAGAGAAACCAGACGTTAAATGGAAGGAAACGAAAAGCAGGAAGAAGTGGAATGAGCAATGATGAGTACAATCGGAATGTGGTCACAATGCACGAGAGATCAATATGTACTTTGTGGAGTGAAGAGGAAACTATAGCAATACCCTTCGCCCAATAATCGGGAAGTTGGCAATTTCTATCCCGTAACGTAATGAGGAAGAACTGTATGGCCCTTTCCTGAAACTGAGCTAAGGTAGCAAGACTGTCTACGACTGTCTCTTGAGCCGATGGGATCGCAGGGAGCAGCATCTCTCTGTGACAGAGCACACGGTGCTAGTACATTACACATATCATGATGCAAATGGAAAATGATGATGTGTACATTCTTTCGTGTGTATTAAGATAACAGGCAGGCCGGAATTCCTTTTTGTCTGATGCTCACATCCTACTGGGCAGATATTCAACTGGAGCTCACTATTAGTCGACTTGGTGTAGGAAAGTTTCTCCCTGGTTGAGCTCCGGGGGTGTCTGCAGCTCAGGGCGTAGTTGCACTGGTAAAGACAGGCCGTCGAGTATTTTGCGCCATCGATATGTGGTGAAATTCGTCTGTCGTGACTGTTGGTCAATGATGTGGTGGTACTTCCACACTATTTGTTTCATGATAGCGGTGGCCCTATCTGTCAAAGCAGTGAGTTTGATTCGCACCTGAGAAGGTTGTTCACTTCTCACCACATCGGAGGGGCTACTGGCACGCTGTAACATGTCAATGACTGTGTCATCGTTGCTCTGCTCCGCAGCAGCTTGTACAGCGTTGAAAACTTCTTTACGGGCAGGGTAACCATACCATTCCAGGGAATGGCAGAGCACTGAGGCAATCGTGATCTCCTGCCACGGGTCCGCTTGTGCGTCTAGGAGCAGCTGTACATTAGTCCTATGTCGATGGAGGACAGCAAGAAAAAGTGGGGGGAGCGCTCCTTTCACGGGAATCACCGAGGCACCAGCTTCAAGCAAAATTTGCACATGCTGCGAGCTGCCCAACTCAACTGCTAACTCCAACATGGTGGTAGGTTTTGTTTTGGGCGGAATGATATTGGGGTCAGCATGGGCTTGTAGCAGTAGGTAAGTTAGTGTGGCTCCATGTCGAGGGAAACAGTGGCCAGCATCAGGCTGGTAAGCATATGGATCAGCAGAATGGTCTCGAAGGATAGCTGAAGCTATTAAAGTGCTAATATGCCTTTCCTCCGTCGTCATGTCTATAAGGCCTACGCCCTTACCAAGGAGATAGCTTACATCAATCACATCCTTGTGACAAATGGCAGTGAGCAGGTCGCGGTATTGCTGCGCCGACGGGACTTGTAACAACTGCACTATATAGCAGAATGTTGTCTCATTTGCATCTGTGTCGAACTGAACAGCCCTCAAAGGCGATTGGATTACTGACGAGCTGGCTGCATATAGGACAATTTGAAAAGGTGAGTCCAACTCGAGCACCTTAGCCGTCTGTTTCATAATATCCCATCCGAGGGTTGTCCGTTCCACGACGTCCATCGTCAGGGCTGCTTCCCCACGGATTCCATGGCAGACACGGAGTCGCATACTTACCCCTGGAAATAAGTAAGCGGAGGCAACCCTGACAGTCTTTAGCCAGAGAGGCCACGCACTTATATTTGCAACCGCGAAGTTTAAAGATGCCTGGGTAGGGTGCAGAGGGGTGTATAAGGGAATGTAAAAAGGATAGCAACATGTCAGACCATCTGAATTTGAGCCGGTATTGCTTAGCAGATTACGAGAAACAATTCTCAAGGGCATGCAAGCTGAAACAAAGAAAACAGAATAGCCAGTCAGAAGCAAACGGCCCGTGCTGTATAGCATGTCTAGGATCCCATAGGTCGAAAGATCGATCTAGTGGGTATGTGACTAGACTTGTAGCAGGAGAGCCTCGGTGAGGGTCAGGAGTCCGATACTGTTATTTGAACCAAAAAATGCTGCGGGCCTTCATTCAAGCAGCGTGACAAGGGGTCCCATGCAAAACAAAAAGCTCCTCTACTCAACTTCAACTTTTCTGTTGGCAAAGTTAGCAACTAGTGCACTTGCCCTCTTTTCATGTCCTGCATCCTCAGAATGAGGAAAAAGCCACAGTCTTCGCTGCAGTTCCTTCGGACTATAGTCAGCATGCAGATATCAAAGGTCTAATGTCACTCAGGTTTGACTTCCCTCTGTAGCTGGATCTGTGCACGATTCTGTCGGAGCAGCTGAAACAGCTTGAACCAACTCTTCTTCTTTAGCAGTGGCTTGTTCCGCTTGGTACCTTTGGGCTCCCGGTGCAGGGCCACGCCAAAAAGGCGAAATCCACGCAGAAGCATGGCCCCCCGCAAGCACCAGGCGCACCCTGGGGCGGTACCCTTTCCACACCACGAGTCCCAGGTCAAACCAAGGAGAGTGGATCCACTCACCGAGTGACGTGGGGACCGAAACCATTCATTTCCACCAAGAATGTACGGCGTAAACCGTACACCCCGAATGGACGTGGAGACGGAACCCATTCATTTCACCCAAGATGATCACCACTCAATCCAAGAGAGACCAACTCATGATGCCCCCATAGGTTCCCGGACTTCAGCGGCTACCGGAGAAGACGATCCAAGAAAGGAGTGGAAAGTCTTAGTCACCTTTTCAGTGACCCCAGTCCCTATGGAGCACAGCTCGGACCTTAGAGCCGAAAAACAAGGTCCTCACTGTGGCCAGACTGTACATTGAGCCCACTCTCCCCGAAGGTTGAGAGTGAACCGGTCGGTGACCCAGTCCCCTGAGCATCGGATATTGATTGTAATCAATAGGAACAGATAGTTTTCTATTGATATTGATTTTCCAATTTTTATTGAAAAAATCAATAGAACTACCAAGTTTTTTTATTGATTTGTTTTCATCCAAAAATATTGATTTGGCTTCAGATGTACATGTTTTGATGCCTCTGCAGTATTGATTAAGTTGTTGATTTTCCTATTGATTTTTCTGTTGATTTTCATCTTGAGTGTGTGCCATGGGCCAAGCTTCTGGCCAAACTGCATGAGAGCCATATGTAACCATCTGTCTCAAGTAGGATCCATCAAGATTTTGTAGCTGGCTTGACAAAAGCTAGCTTAGTTTTGGAGGAACCCTTGACCAAAGGATTCTAGTTTTGAAGCAATGGCCAGCAAGGGTGGGGCAAGGCACTTCTCCAAGCCAATGGTGGACCCCTTTGTGCTTTTCCAAACATTGAACCAACATGTCTCTTTGGTGTCTTCACTGGGAAGGTATGAGACTGTCAGCAGGCAGCAAGCCACAGATGCCAAGGGCCTAGTGCATTGCCTGCCTCTGTTGGAAGCTTTGTTGGATCTTTCCCCCACAGGTGAGATCCACCCAGGTCCTCTGAGGCAAGCATTGCTGAAGCTGGTCCAGCACAAACCGAAGATAAACACAACAGACTTCAATGGACTGGTATACTGCAACATGAGAGCAGAAAGGGTTACAACTGTCCTCCTTCATCTTAGAAGGTTGAAATCTGAGGAAGAGCTTGCAAAAGTAGCAGCAAAAGTGAGTGGAAAAGAATACCAGCTGCTGAAAGAGCTTGCACAAAACTTGGCAGGCAAGGACACAGAGCAAAACAGTGATGAGGAAAGAGAAGCTGCTTCCCTTGACAAAAGGGGGCAGCAAGAGGAAGAAGAAGCTGGCCCCCTTGCCAAAAGGAGGCAGCTTAAGAAAGAAGATTCTGCCATCTCCATGGATTCCAGTGGCTTCCCCAAGTGCTTGCAAAGCCCACAGCAATCCAATGCCTTGCCATTGGAGGACAGCCCCTTGACAAAAGGAGCAGCAGCAAGCAGTTCCAATGCATTACCTGATGAGGGATCTTTTTTGAAAAGGAGAAAGGGTTCTTTGGTGCTAAAGAGACCAAGCTGGAACTCAAAGGACCAAGACCAAAGCTTGACAAAAGCTTTGGCCTTGGGTAAAAAACAAACATGCAAAAAAGAGAAGAAGGGTTCCAAAATGAAAAGGCCTGCAGCTGCAGTAAGCACAGCTGCAGTAAGCACAAAAAAACAGCCATGGAAAACCTTGAAGGTAACCTACCCCAGGAACCCAGAAAGGGCCTACATCCAAGGAAGCCATGGGCCACCTGAACCTATTCACCACATAGTCGAAGTGACAAAGAAAATGACCCCACAATACAGAGAGGTGATTGGGGTTATCCACAGAAGGCTGCAAGCTGAGCATCTAACCAAAGAGCAAGCCAGAGCTTTGAGAGAAGAGTTGCTGAGCTAGGGCTTTTGGCCCTGGGGGTTCCTTGCCAAAAGGGCCCCCTACCCTTGACAAAAGGGTTTCAGTCAGCAAAGGCAATGGTGGTGCTATAGATATCTGCCCAATTGATGCATGGCTGGCCCTTGCACAGATACCTGTCATTCCTTGACAAAAGGTTTGACATGGTTGGGCTATGTATGTTTCACCCCAGGCTCCTTGCCCAAAGGTTGCCAACAAGAACAAATTATTAAGGGGTGAAAATATATTAATAAATAAATGAAATAAATGAACTAAATATAAATAATTGAATTATATATTTAAATAAATATATGTAAAAAAAACAAAAATCTGTATATATATATATATATTACAAAAAAAACACTATATATATATACACATTCATATGCATATACATTTTTAAGTATATACTGAAATTTTGAAAACTGATTATATACACAAATATATATATATATATGTATATATCAATCAAGTACACATTTTCTGACAACAAATGAAGATATACACCACATGAAAACAGATACAACAGTGGATAATCCAACCAAAGTGTCATGATGGTTTTCTCATGGTTTGGCCCCACCAACTTGATTTCAAATGTATGGAAACTTTCTCAGGGTGTTTTTTTTCATGGAATTTTAGAGAAACACACTGAAAAATATGCAATGCATGTTCTTTTGGGTGCCTTGACTAAAGGGGGGTTCACACCTGGCAGGCATTTCTACCACTGCAGCTGTTTGAAAACTCAAGCTTGACTACTAGGAGTAAAGGCCCTTGACAAAAGGGCTTCCCCTCTTTAGCTTTCTTGACAAAAGAAAGCTTGTGGAAGCTCCCTTGACAAAAGGGGCAATGCTCAACAACAAGGGGAAAAAACAGGGCACTGGCACCACCACAGAGGCCAGGAAAGAAAAATTCAGGAAAAAAGGAATGGAAAGAGAAAATAAAAACATGAGACTTGAAGATGTCAACATAGATTGGGCAAAAGCAGCTGCTGACAAAACATATGGAAAGCCACACCTGTTGACAAAACAGGAGTTGCATGACTATTTGTGGCCCAAGGAAGCAGAAGAAAAAAGAAAGGAGAAAGAAAAACTGGAGCAAGACTGCAAAAAGTTGAAAAAAAGCAGCAAAGCAGCAAAGGATGGCAAAAGGGCAAGCTCTTCAGCCAACCTTGACAAAAGGGAGGCTAGTCCTGACACCAAGGATGCCCAAGCCAAAACTGAGCCAGTATCGCTTGACAAAAGAGATCCAAAATCAGATGGGGCTGCAAAGCAAGCAATGGAAAAAGTAGATCCCAAACAAGAGATCAAGCAGGAGGCACCCAAACCAAACAAAAGCAAAGTGCAAACAGAGGTTGAAAAATGGGAAGAAAGAACCAACCTTGACAAAAGGGAGGTTCCAAAACCATTGGTTTTTGGCCCCAGCCCAAAAGAAAAAGCAAAAGAAAAGCAAAAGGAGAGCAAGCCCCAGACCAGCAGCTCATCAAGCTCACCAGCAAGTTCATCACCTGACTGGGATGCATCTGATGTTTCATCATCAGACCATGAGCCACCTGCCAAAAAGGTGAAAGAGGAGGAGGGCATCAAACTCAAAGAAGGACCAGGGTACCTTGACAAAAGGTACAGCTGGCAGCCCAAGAGGCCAAGAATTGCAGTGGATTGGCACCACACCTTGGAAATCAGAAATAATGTGTCTGGTGCCAACAGGAGGGCCTTGCAGAAGCTGGAGGATGCAGGGTATGACACTTTCCTATGTTCATACTCTGGGCCAGACAGGCAAAAGGAAACAGATTTCCTGAGTGATGGGGTGTACAGCAACTGGTGTGGCAAAATCTTTTGCCACAAACCATGTGGCAGGGAGGGGAAGGCCCAAGCTCTGCACAGGGCAGGCATCAAGATCCTGTTTGATGACAGGTGGGATGTGATCCAAGAGTGTGGCCAGTGGGGTATTGAGTGCTTTGCCATTGTGCCCTGGTGGAATGCCCATGGCTGGGGTATGAACACCTACCCCACTTTTGATGTGGCTGTGTGGCACTTTTTGGATGGCAAGTAGGGGGCCACACATTCCCTTGACAAAAGGGTTTGTAGGCACCTCCCCTTGACAAAAGGGAATTGCCAGTAGTTTTTGCAGAGTTTTTATGGCTGGTGGCAAGTCCCTTGACCAAAGCGCTTGCATCCCTGACAAGAAGGGACCAGCCAGTTTCACATCACTGCTGTTTCCTTGACAAAAGGAATGAAGCAAGGTGATGAGCACACAATATGGATGAAAATGAAAAATAAAAATAATAAATAAATAAATATTATAATAAAATTCAATAAGAATATTTTTGAAAAACATACCAATTTTATTAAGAACTATTTTGGGCAAACTGCACTTACTTTACAATATATGGAACCTATGGGTAGTGGTTATCTTTCAATTCTTTCATTCAGAGTATTTTGAAATACAGTAAATGGTTTCAATGTTGTTCAACTTTTGTTCTGGTGATAGTTGTAAATGTTATTTTGAACAAGGCTTTGAGGCATATATATATATTATTTGTTTATCTGGGCATGTTTTGCACATATAGTTAAATATAAATAGATATATATATATATGTATTTAAATATATATATATATAGATAAATAGAAAGGTAGACACTATTCTGAAACAATATACTTTGACAAAAATAAATTGTTCATTGGAAGTGTCCATATATTTGTTGGTATTCTTGGTGCAATTTTACAACCAAGGGAATATTTTCCAGTTGCCTTTCAAATCTTTATAAGAAATAGTTTGAATTTTGTTTTGTTCAAGGGGTTCAGCAGCCATAGGAGTTTTTGAATTTTGTATTTCAAACCATTTCTCCCCAAAATTCATTCCAGTATGAAACACAATTGGTAAGAAACCATTTGGGGCACAGGTTTTCCACTTTCAAACTCAGAGTGAATCCAAGGTATAAGCATTGGGTGCTGTCTGGATTGCAGCCTTGACAAAAGGTTGTGGCCAGATTTTCACCTTTGAAACTGTTTTAATACAAAAAAATAAAAAATAATAAAAAACATAATAATAAAAAATAGAAAAATAAAAATTTGACCAAATTTGACCAAATTTGACCAAAAGTCAAATTTGGTCAAATTTGGTCAAAATTTGTTTTTTTATATATATTCAGAAAAAGGTTTAAAAAATATATATTGTTTTTTCCCAATGTTGTTTCCACATGGTTGGTAGCATAGAATTGAATGTAACAACCTTTTGTCAAGGCTGTTCATCCAAGAACAAGAAAAATCTAAATTTATTTTTCCCAAAGCTGTTGGCCTAGGAACATATATGTGTTTAAAAAGCTTATGTGAAACTCTTTTGTCAAAGTTTCTCAACAGGCAAATAGGAAGGCATCCAAGTTTGATTCTGTTTCTGTGTGTTCAGTCTTTTGGTTCAAAAGGCAAATGTACTCTCCTTGACCAAAGGAGTAGGATCTGCAAGCTCTAGCTTCTTGCACATGGCACCAAAAAAGAAAGTGAAACCTGGAATTTTGAAAAACAAAGCAAGCCCTTGCCCAAAGGGAAAAAGTAAGGCCAAAGCCAAAAGCAAAAGCAAAGCCACAGGGAAACATCAGAGAGCTACCTTGACAAAAGGTAAGCTTGCCCAGCTGGGCAAGCTGACTTTGGATGAGAAAGTGAAAAAAGCAACAGAAGAAGCAAACACAGCAGAGGAAGCAGCCATAGTCTTAAAAGATTCCTTGACAAAAGATGAATCTGCTAAGCTGTGGTCCAAGCACAAAACCTATTTGAAGGGAAAGGAAGAAGAGAAAGAGGCTCATGAGCAGTTGGGGAAGAAGGAAAAAGGACTTGAAGTTGTTCTTTGGTTTCTCAAGCACAAGAAAGGTGTGTTCTTCCATACAGAAACCTCCAAAGAAGCCAGTGAAACCTTGACAAAAGGTGAGAAATGGGTCAGTGAACACAAGATGCTGCAGGATTTCAGCAAAGATGAATTTGAACAGCACTTGGCATCAGGAAGGGTCAAATGGCGCTCAGACCCATGGACCCCTGGCATCTACCAATACTGTGACCAGGGGGACCTGACCAAACAGGTCCAGTTGAAGAAAAAGCACAAAGTCACAGTGGGGCAGGAAAGGGAAATGGATGATGCAGAGGATGAAAAGGAGTTCATGAGCTACTGGGGCAAAGGCTCTTTGGCCAGCATGCAGGAGGCTGAAGTTGCCTTCAAAGGCCAGGGCCCTGCCTTGACAAAAGGTAAGGGCCAAGGTGCCTTGACAAAAGGCAAAGGGAGCAGAGGAAGCAAAGGAAGAGGCAGAGGAGTGCTGGCCATAGAGGATGGTAACCCAAATGACACAGAAGATGACAAAGACAAGAAGACACCTGAAGAGCAATGGGCTGAGTGCTTGACAAAAGCACAAAAATCCAAAGAGCATCTCAGGGTGGCAGTGGGAAACTTGGAAGAAGCTTTGGAAGCTGCTAGCCAAGCAGGCAGAACTTCCAAGCAAGACAGGAAGGAAGCACAACTGACTTTGAAACATGCCCAAGAATGGGAACAAAAGCTCAAAGCAATTACAAATAAAAAAAAGGGTGGCAATGTGGAAGCAGCAAAGCAAACCATCAAAGATGCAGTGGTATGCACCAACCAAGTCAAAACAGAAGTGAAAGAATACAAGGCATTGGCAAACAAAAGCTTTTCCAAAAGCAGCAAAAAGTGAAGCAACAATGCTTTGAAAGGGGCCCTTGACCAAAGGACCCTGTGTGCTCGTGACAAAAGAGTACACCTATAGCTAGTGGCAAAGGGTAGTATCTTGTTTAAATTCCAGTGCTACCTTGCCCAAAGGTCACTGGCTTCAAGTTTTTGATGTCGCCATATCCTTGACAAAAGGTGATTGGCTTTCAGTTTTTGATGTTGCCATTGCCCAGGCAATTGGCAGGTACAGGCAGCCACATGAGACCTTCTCCCCTTGACCAAAGGGTGATGTAGGGTCTCTTGGCTGGCAAACCGACAGCAGGCATCAAGTCAAAAAAATGCTGCAGCACAGCCACTTAAGTGGTTCAGGGGGTTGGGGGGCTGCACACCACACCACTAAACCACACAAGTTTTTTCTGGGTATGTATAAGTATGTCAGCCACTTGGGTTGTAAAGCATGCAGCTTAAGAAGCACCAAGGGTCTAAACCACACAAGTTTTTTCTGGGTATCTAATAAGTAAGTCAGCCACTTGGGCTGTAAAAAGCATACAGCTTAAGAAGCACCAAGGGTTGGTAAGCCTCCAGGGTTGGCAGGGTCTGCAGGGTTGGCAAGCCAAGTGTTGTGCAAAGTTTTGGTTCAAGTGTTTCCTCAAAGGGGAAAGAGCCATGCCTTGCCCAAAGGCTTGTGCTCAGTGCCCTTGACAAAAGGGCAGCATGAAGCCAGTCAAAAGACTGAGGGGCCATGGTTTGGAGCTGGCCAAGCTAGAGACAGAGCCCTTGACCAAAGGGGATGGTGAGCAGAGTGTGCTGGCACAAACACTTTTGTCCTTGTGGAGCCATGGGCAGCTTAGTGCAAAACTAGTTCAAGATGTTGCCCACAAAGCAATTCTCACTGGGTCCAGTGGCCATGACTTGGCAACCAATGCCAAAACAGGAAGTCATGGGTCATTACCTGGGAATTGCCACAGAGATTTGTGTGCCAGCTTCACCAAGGACTGCAAGATTTCTGGCAGCACACCAGTTGAAACAAAATGCAAAGACCCAAAGACTTCACAGGTGTCTATGGAAAAAGCTGGCATTCTGCTGCCACACATTTTATTTGCAGACCTTTTCCACCATTATACAGATCAGTTTGAAACTTTGTTTGGTGTTGAACATCTGAATGACTTTTGGAGAGGAGTTGAAGCTTCCCAGGATGATCGACTGCAGGGCCACCCCATCTGCCTTGACAAAAGGCAGGGCCTTGCCAAAAGGCAGGTGCAAGACCCTGAGACTACCATTCCAATTTTCATTCATGCTGATGGAGTCGAGTTCCAGAGTAGAGACTCCCTGATGATTTGGAATTGGGGTGGGTTTCTCAATGCACATAGCAGTTTGACTTCCCATTTCCTGATCTGTGCTTGGCCAAAATCTGCAACAGTCTCTGACACCTGGACCCCCATCATGCAATGGGTGCAATGGTCTTTGGAAGCACTGCAAGAAGGCTTACACCCATGTTTTGGCCCTGACAATGAACCCTTGCCAAAAGGGTCCATTTTTGAACAGCTTGCTGGGCAGCCCCTCACAGGCAGAGGTTACAGGGCTGTGCTTTGGTCCATTCAAGGGGACCAAGAAATGTACAGCAATGTTCTTCACCTGCCCCATTGGAATTCCCACAACTGCTGCCATGCTTGTGATGCCCAGCAACCTTTCATAAAAGGCAAGCCTTGTGGGAAGGGGAAGAGTTTCAAAGAATTGCTGCCAGAGAACCAAAAATTCATTTACACTGACACAGCAGCAGCCTTGACAAAAGGTAGCCAGCACCAGCTGTTTGAAACCCCAGGCCTCACCATTAGAATGGTTCGACAGGATGGGCTGCATGTGCTTTTTGTGAAAGGTGTGTGTTCACACCTGCTTGGCTCTTTGCTTCACCATGTGTGTTACAACCAAGGCAGAGGCAAGCAAAACAAGCAGCCCAGCCAAAGGCTGGCATTGATTTTCTCCAAGATCCAGGAAAATTACAAGGAACTTCAGACACCAACTCGACTCACCAACCTCAGATTGAGCATGATCTGTGATCCCTCCAAGCCTCACCAAGAGTATGCCAAACTAGAAGCAAAAGGAGCAGAGACAAAACATTTGCTCAGTGCATTCTTACCAGTGCTGAAAAGCATACTAGAACCAAACAATATCCTTCACCAACACATGGTGGGAGCTCTGGAGGCAATGGTGGACTTGGTTGCTGCATTTGATGCAGCAGGGCTGTTTCCTTGCCCAAAGGAATTTCAAGCCATGCAGGACCTTGACCAAAGGTTTTGCAGGCATTACACAGAGCTGAACAAGTGGGCCCAGAAGAATGACCATAAACTTTACCACATTGTCTACAAGCACCATTGCCAACATCACCTGGTCAAGGAGGCACAATTCTTGAATCCCAGGTACACATGGAACTTCAGATCTGAAGACTTTGTGGGGAGGGTGGCAACATTAGCCAGATCATTGGCTATGGGAGTCAAATCAACAAGACTTTCAGGCAAGCTCATGATTAAGTATCGCATTCTTTTGCACATGCAGCTGACAAGACTTGGGTTTGACTTGGGTGTGTCTCCAGACAGTGATGGTGAAGAATGGTAGATGGTCCTTGACCAAAGGTCTTTCTGCCACACCCTTGGCAAAAGGGTATCTGGAGACACCCAGCACAAGCAGCTGATAGGTCTGCCATCCTTGACCAAAGGATGCTTCACTTCCCAGTCTCACCAGACAAATAAGAAAGAAGATGAAAAAGAAAACTGTAATATAAAGCCTGGAGTGTCCACACTAGCACTAAAAAGCTGTGGGTTTTGATTGATTTTATTGTTGTTCAAGCTTCTTTATATTGATTATGTTGTTGATTTTTGTATTGATTAAGTTGTTGATCCTATCTGGTGTGTTGTGGATTCCCAAAAGGCAGAATTCCTGTTGATTTTGAACTGTGTTAAAATCAATAGAAAATATTGAAAAAACTCTAAAATCAATATTTTCAGAATAGTATTGATTACAATCAATATCCGATGCTCAGGGTCGTTAGCGATCCCATGAATCCCAGGGGGATACACCTGTCTTGCGACAGGACCCTAACACTGTTAGGGAGGAACCGACGGTCTTGTCCACCGCGAGCTTAGCTACCCAACGATGAATATTGACCGTTAGCCAACGGGTTGCCCCGTTGACCCCTCCTCGAGACAAGTCCCCAAGTCTCTAAGAGGTTCACCGACCTTGCCTGTTCCCCCGTGTCATCATTGGGTGTTGCTACCCTAGACACAAGGTGAGGTGAGACCCGTCGGTCCCGTACCACGTGTGTACCGATCGGTCCGGGAGAACCCCGAGATACCGCACGATCACCCAAGGATGTGCGCAAACACAAACGAGGGTGTGACATGAGGAGCAACCCAACATGTCAACACACGCCGACTAGGGGGTACCAAGGTACCGTGTTAATTCACGGTTCGTTAGGGACGGGGGCCTTCAGCAACTCCCCAGCGCTATAACAGAGTTTAACGTCCCCCCGGACCCTCTCGGGTCCACCTCCCCCTGTTGAGCACATGGTATTGGGGACCCCATCCCCCTACCCATGCTCGATCTGTACCAAATTGCCCACAACTTCTTCCATTTGAGTGGCTGCCTCTATTACGAAGGTTAATAGAGTGCGTGCATACGCCAGCTGTTTAGCGGCCCGGGCCCGACCCTCTGTTGCAGGTCCTAGCGGCGGTACCTCACCATGCCACCACATTGTGACTTTGCTTGTTGTATGCACTGGCATGGAGGGTGATTGCGGTTCCGATCGACCAGCAAAGGTCGCATTGAGTTTCTGCAAGTCACGTACACTGTAATTCCCAGTCGGGTCGAGCTGTTGGGTACTTGTCTGTCCCGTGGGGTCTGTGTACTTTCTTTTACCATGCAAGCTCTCCTCTCTTCGCGGCATAGACTTTATGGCACTTTTGTGTTCAAAGCCAATCTTGAAAGTTTCGTGAGCTGCTGAACTACAGCGGGATTCTCTGTTCAGGGCAATCAGTTTGTCCATCACCTTGCCTGAGCTATTGGTCATTTCGGTGAAGGGCCAGCAGGGCGTGCGATTCGCCAGGATATTGTGCTCATGCATCCGGTCAACATAGAAATGATTCAATTTCTCATTGTGTCGGTGGTTCGTGATGACAGCAAATCTTCTGGGACTGACCCAGACCCATAAATCCTCCTGAAAGGACTCTGTGGCGTAGAAGGGCCAGATCTGCCGGCCTCCCATTTCCACAAAAGAGAAATTGGTATAGACGTCATCACTGGCTTCGGTATCTATATGACAAAAGTCATGTGACAGCTTGGCGGAACTGGACCCAGGATAAGTCCAGTCCAATGGGCTCTTCATGTCATCATTGAGAATACGCTTGTGTGCTTTGGCCTCCCGGTGCAGGGCCACGCCAAAAAGGCGAAAACCACGCAGAAGCATGGCCCCCCGCAAGCACCAGGCGCAGCCGGCGGCGCACACCTTTCCACACCGTGTGACCCAGGCCAACCTAGGGAAAGCGGATCCACACACCGGGTGGTAAGTAACCGAGACCATTCATTTCCCAAGTGGATCCACTCACCGAGTGACGTGGGAACCAAAAAGGTACCCATTCATTTCACCCAAGATGATCACCACTCAAGGGACGTGGAACACGGACACCCACCACCACACAAGGTGTTCACCACAATCACCGAAGGTAAAACCATCACACGATGCCCCCATTGGTTCCCGGACTCCTGCTCGTACAGGAGAAGAACGACCAAAAAAAGGAGTGGTCGAACTAAGTCACCTTTTCAGTGACCCCAGTCCCAATGGAGCACAGCTCGAACCTTGGATTAGGTCCTTGCTGTGGCCAGACTGTACATTGAGCCCACTCTCCCCGAAGGTTGAGAGTGGACCGGTCGGTGACCCAGTCGTTAGCGATCCCATGCATCCCCAGAGGGATACACCTGTCTCACGACAGGACCCTAACACTGTTAGGGAGGAACCGACGGTCTTGTCCACCG